TTCCATTGAGCATCTTTCTCGGCATTATCCTCTCTAATCCATTCGAAGTATGGTGACCATTTTTCTTTCGTCTTCCTCTTCCTTTCTTCCCAGGTTTTCTCCTCCGTCATCAGGGAAACGATATCTGATTGGATGTATTCAAAAAGATAGTTATTCCAATTCTCCATAGTCCACTTGTTCTTGTCTTTCCATCCTAATACTATAACTGCTTTCCCAGCTAATATCATTGCCTTGAATACCTCTTGATATTTAAGTTCTACTGTCCTGCTCTTCATAGTACCTAATGTCATTAAATTGATATCTATTGGTATTGATACTCCTACTTTATCCTTTACCTTGTCCAGTATTTTCTTCCAAAACTCCTGTACTTTGGCGCATTCCCACCACATATGTGAGTACCAGCCTTTTGCCTGCTTGCAGTGCCAACAATTCGAACTAACCCCGGGTATCATGTTAGCTAATTGCGCTGGCGTCCGGTACCATTTAGTGAAGCATTTCAGCTCCATTTCTCTGAATTTATCAAATTTAATCTTTTTAATCCCCGTCATTAGTTTTTTTAAGGTTGTTTCTAAAGTTAACCCTTCTTTGTGCCATTTCTCCTGAACACTTTTAACTATGGAATCCTCGTCAGTAGTCATTCTTTTATATACCTTGCCCGCTAGACCTCTACCTGTCTTTCTCTTTTCCTTATACAGTGCTTCCGCGATTTCTTCTGGATCTCCCCTCCTCTTTTGCTGCTTGTTTTTAATTGCGTTATATAGTCCCATCAATTTCAACCAGTGCTGTTTCCCTATTGCCTCTATTATTGTTTGTAAGGGTTTAAGTTGGCCGCCTTCTCCATACATATCTTTTATTCTGAATAATCCCCTTTCTTTGAGAGCTTTCCACCAATAGGGGTCATCACTTTCCTCATATAAGCTTTCTAGTGGTGCCCAGTCAGAAGGTTTACTCAACCAACTGGGTTGCCACTTTTTCCATATTTTCAACGCTGTTCTTCTAGGTCCCACTGCTTTACCCCATGCTTTGTTCACTTCCCTCGTGAAGATGCCAACAAATCTCCCGACTCCCTTGTTTAATTCATTTTCCAGTCTAACCCATTTCTGATCTTACATCTTCTCCTATTTCTATCAATGACTTGACATTGAAAGCCTCGTAATAGCCTGTCAGATTAGGTATTCCCCATCCCATTGCATTCTGTGGGTTATATATAAACTTTTTTTGCGTCCTGGGTCTTTTGTTTCCGAATATCCATTCTCTAATTGTTCCGTTCCATTGTTCCAACTGTTGTATGTTTATTTCTAATGGGAGCGTTTGGAGTAGGTACATTATTCTGGAAATGAGAAACATTTTGGCCGTTCTTATTTTATTTGAAATACTTAAATTTTTATTTGCCCATCTTTTCATATCCTTACAGACTTTCTTCCAAGCCTTTTTAAAGTTCCCTTCGGCTGTTTTTTTTCCAATTCTTCCTAATTTCAATCCCTAAGTATTTTATTGTCTTAGCTCCTAATCCTATGTTTGTCATCCTTGCAATTTCCCTTCTTTCTACTATGCCTACATTGAAATACATAATTTCTGACTTGTCTATATTCACTCTTAGCCCTGAGTATGCTTCAAAGTCCTCCAGTATAGTTTTTATTTCTTTGATTCCCTCTTTAGGGTTTGTCATGGTTACCATTAAGTCGTCTGCGAACAGATTAATCTTTAGTTCCTCATTACCAATACGATATCCGTCTATCCTACCATTGTTCCTTACTCTTTCCGCTAATATCTCAATTCCCATGATGAATAGATACGGAGAAAGAGGGCATCCCTGCCTTACTCCTCTCTGAATATTAAACTCCCAACCGCCAAATTGGTGATAGCGGAGGGGTGGAAATCACCAAACCCGCCCTCTATAACAGGGTGGCATGATAAGCTTTGGCAGCAGTTCATTATGGCCAAAATTGCAGATTTAACACAAAGAGAGCAGCAAACAGGCACAACCACACACACGAGATATGTGAAAACATGGTCGCCGATACTACAATACATGTCAGAGGGAGGAATTCTCCCGAGCAATACTGCATATCATGATTGGCTACACTTGTGAGACTCATAATAGGTCAGGATGTACTAGAGGGATCATGCCCGTACTCTTAATAGCAGGCATTTCAAGCGGTATTAGCAACCAAATAAGAGAAACGTTATAGCACCTGTAACTGCAAGCAGCTATATTCATTGATATGTACTTTGTAACGTGTATTTTGCGGACATACTCTGTTTTTAAAACAACAATAAAATTAATTTAAAAAAAACAAAAACTCCCTTGAATGCCCTCCGTTTACTCTTACCACTGCCTTCCCTCCTTTATATACTTCTTGTATAGCATTCTTAAATCGTTCCCCTATCCCATATTCATCCATGATCTTCCAAATATACCCATGGGAAAGCGTATCGAAAGCCTTATATACATCAAGCTTAAGAAGGGCAAACTTTTGTTTTTGGCCATGTTCTATTACATTAAGGATATTTCTGATCGGATGACTTATATTCCTCCCGCTCACAAACCCATATTGGTCCCCTTTAATTAGTTTCGGTATCACCACTTTTAGTCTGTTTGCTAATATTGGACAATCATGACCTGATCAAAGAACAAATGTGAAGAAAACAGTCGTGAGAGTCTGACCCATGAATCAGGCAGTCAACAAGACTTGCAAAGAAACAGATTCCTTCAAATCATAAGAAAATCCTTGTGTAAAAATACATCAACGTTGTCTCCGGATTATATAACAACGTTTCAAAATTGGATCTTCCTCAGGAAATAGTAGCGTCGTACAAAAGCTCTCACGCTCATAAAGTGCTTTACAAAAAAATCAGGGAAAACAATACATTTAAATAGGACGCTGATCTCAAGAGGTATCCAGGCTCAAATATGCTGCTGCCTCCCTCCATTCGGATGAAATATGCCACTGACAGCTGCCCTCTGAGTGCCCCTCTGTGTACACTCACACTGTCTGCGCTCTCACTGTAATCTGTGAACAGACCTTGGGGGGGGGGAGCCCTTAAACCAGCACAGGGAGGCTGGTTTCATCAGGTTCAGCGTGAGGGAAGGGTCAACAGGAAGCGCATGGTGACTTTCTTGGCAAATGCCGGTGGGAGGGGAATGGCCTGGTAGCTGTTTCCTGTGGCAAGAGCAGCCCGTGATGGCGAGGAAGCGGGTGATGTGCCAAGGCCTTTAGTTGGTGCCGCAGTGCAGGCTGGGATACCTGCCAGGCATTGGCAGGGGAGGTGGAGGAAAGGAAGGAGGTGCTGAAACCAGGACTAAATGGTAGGATTGCCAAATCCCAGGTGGGGCCTGGCGTTCTCCTGGAATTATAGCTGATCTGCAGACTGCGGCAACCAGTTCCTCAGCTCCCCGGTCGGAGCTCCCTCCCCTCTGCAGACGTTGTTCTCCCCAGGCTGGAGCCGGCCACCCTGCATCGTTGCTCGCCAACCCACTGGCCAGAAGCTAGTTTCACTTCACACCCCCAGGCTGTTATTTGGGAGTGTCCCTCCCTGGAACAGAAGGATCTGGCCTCGTGGAACTTTTGTTCTGGAATAACACTCTTTTCGTAAGGTTCAAATCACAGCCGCCAGGTATTTGGGGTGTTCGTCAAAGAGTACCGGTTCTGTAGAAGTTGTGCTGGTTGCCCGTTGGTCTCCAGGGTCCACTCAAGGCGCTGCCCAAGCCCTTCCTGGCTCTGGCCAGAAGCACTTCGGGGCACGATGCCCCTGGTATGTAATTCCCTCCCCCTCCCAAGGTCTGGACATTATTGCCATTTATACGCCAGGCTGGGCGCCACTTCCAGGTGTGCCCTCTTGGCTGCAGCCCCCAAGCTTTGCCCAGTGAGACCTGGAGGGTCCGAGCCCTTCTTGTGTCCAGGGACATCCGGGAGGTGTGTCTGTTCATTCAAGCCTCTGATACTTGGAGGAGTGTGCCAGTCAACCATGGCTGATGGGTGGGCTCCTGGTCACAGCTGTGGGATACAGTTCTACTTACAATTCCATCTATATTGAGTCCAGTGGCACTTTTAAGGCCAGCAAAGTTTAATTCTGGATACAAGCCTTCGTGTGCTTCATACCAACTTGGCTACCCACCTGAGTCTTTCAACCGTATTATTGATTTTAGTGTTTTATTCTTTCATTCTGTAATTTTCTTTCAGAACTACTACATGCATTCTACATAAATAATAGAACCATTAGCACATGTGAGGCACTAAGATGAGGAGATCGAAAAGTGGAATGACTCCCACATGGCACAATCTGAATATCTCAGCCTTGGAACATTAAGTCTGGCTTATTTTAATGGCGGCTTGTTCTGAAATCAGGATTCAGTTCACAGATGGTCACTCACATTGCCAGGTGATGAACCTGCCAGTGTGAAATCTGAGCATGTCCCAGTGTCCACCCCATACTAGTTTTAAGATGACTTCAAGGTTTATGTGGACCATTCTGTGGCTGCCGCCAGATCCTATTGAATTCCTGGCCATGTGCCCTGTAGGTGGCAGGTGGTCCATTTCTACTCAGTCCAGCCTACACAATATTGTACAGAATCAACCTGGGCTTTTCCTTCTATACTTCTGCTTTCTCTCTTTCTGGGTACTCATGTTGGCAGCCCTCTGGACTGAATGGTAACCAGCATCACTGCCGGGGAAGAACTTAAGATTGCCTTTGAAACTGGTTGGATGGGCTGTATAGAAATAACAACCCAGCTAATTTCTGAGTTCTTAATGGCATTTCCATTTCTCTTTGCTAGTATAGATCAACAGCCAAACAGCCCAAGGTTTAAGTTTAACTTCATTGCAGATGTGGTGGAGAAGATTGCCCCTGCTGTTGTGCACATAGAACTCTTTCTCAGGTAAATTTTGTGCCTTGCATTTGATTTATTTAGTTTATGCGTTTAAATATTTATACCCGACTTTTCTCCCCAGTGGGACTCAGTGCAACTTACAACATCCTTCACCTTGCCTCCATTTTATCCTCACAACGATCTTGTGAGGTAGGTTAGGCTGAGAGAGTGTGACTGGCTCAAAGTCACCTAGCAAACGTCCCTGGCAAGAGTGAGGATTTGAGCCTGGGTCAGTACTCTTAACTACTGTGCCACACTGGCTAGATTAAGTGGATTGTAAATGTTTCAAAAAGATTGTCCATGTACTTTTGCTTGGGTACATGTCATGGATGTCAATGGGACCGCTCCAGGGTTGCCTTCCATTGCTGTCTGTCCTATTTCTGTCCGCGGGTGTGAGTGTTCCATGGGGTCTCACAGAACACTTGGATTAAACTGTGGTTGAGACACCCAGACTGTGGAAAGGCAACACAGCCCAGTTTGCTCAGATGTCTGCCCTGGAGCCTCACAGACACCCGACTGAAGGCTGCCAAAACCAGGAAGCCTTCAGCTGTGCTCCACTTGCACACGAGCATCACATCAGGCCGTATCCAGGGGGGGGGGGGGAAGCAAAAAAGTAGTTGTGGCATTTGAATGCACATCCTTGGTTCTGGCCCATACATAATTTGACCCTGCCGGCTTGTTTAGTAGGACCTGTCCTGGATATGTGTCTAGATAAAGTCTGGACAGAGACCCCCGTGCTCTCTTGGGTCTGTGCGGGTGTTCCAGGCCAAGCAAGGCCTGCTGTGGCGTGACAGGGGAAGTGTGCCGGATCTGTACCAAACAGATCAAAGAACTGCCCCTCCCCCCACCTTGCATGAAAGAATCTGCTGCTGACCTCTGGTGTGGCTGGTGACTTTGTCAACTTGCCTCGTGCTGAGAAGGAGAAGAATGGATGTATTGAAAATGTCAGGGGTTATGCGTTTTTACTTGTGCGTAGAAGCAGTAGCTGCCCTTGCCTGTGAAGAACGGAGGAGGGGCAAAGAGCAAGGCCATCCCTGAAGACCTTCTCTAGTGGGACAAAGTTACTCTCAACAACACACTCTGGCAGTGATTTGTTTATTGAGAAATAAAGATGTTCCAGGCCAGACCAGTACAGTGGCAGAATGGGGGTTCTGGCGGAAGAATCCAAAGATATAGACAGTTCAAACGAGCCCCACCCTTCAGTTACAGCCAATCACACTCCACCAGCTTCCCACCTAGCTTTTGCATGCTCTACACACACACACACACCTGTGAATATACAGTTCCTTTATCTATAACAGTGAAGATGGCACAGTTAGGCTTCAAGGTCATCCCTGACAAGGGAGGTATCTTAGGGAGAGTTACATCGCCACTACAACAGAGCTGTTCACACACTCTCCCACTCACACCCCTCCCTCAGGAATTTCCCCCCCTCTGCAGGCCCCCAACCCCCCCCCCCCAAACATGGCAAATGAGAGTTCGAGTTTGACATTGAGCATCTGCTTTGCTTGCAGAATTAGAAAGGGAACAGGGTGGTATTTTTAATGTCTGTCAAAATTATAGGCAGTTTTTACTGCATCGTGCACTGCTTCAGATACTGCTTTTTATTTCAATGTTCTCTAGTTTTGTAATCCAGTTTTGTTGGATTGTTTGCTGTATATTATACTAGCCTCTTTTGCATAGTTTTTAATTTGGTAATCTGTCTGGAGTGTCAGTGAGAAAGGCAGACTATAAATGAAGTAAGTAAGTAAATAAAAATAGGAGATGTCAAAGATCTCAACCCAAGACCACAGTGAACCTCTCTGCCAGACAGAGGTGATGTTCCGGACCTTGGTAGTCCAAGAGTCTGACTGAGGAGAAGGCAGCTCCAGGCATTTGTGGGAATCGCCAATATGGGCCTCAAATGCGCGTGAACTTCCACAACATGTCGTGATGTCCTCTTTCTGTTTACCCGTTTTAGCAGCTCTGTAATCTTTGCTGCTGCTCCAGAGCAGGAGTGGGGAATGCTGGGCAGATGCCCGGCAGGTTGGCAGGTGAGGGGCCATTCTGCGTGGCACGCAGGGCCAGTTCTGTGTCTAGGGGAAGACCCCTGAGGCACGAGGGGTACTGCTGGGGCTCAGCTTGCTCCTGGTGTCTCTGTCCAAATATAACATTCGCACACACACACACGCTTCTTCAGATGATTGCTGTGGGTTTTTTGTACTCTGGCTGAAAGAATGGCCTGCTCCTGCTCTCGAGAAGAAGGCTTTTCTTCACTTGTGTGTGTGTGGTGTGTGTGTGTGTGGAATGTAGGTGCTCCAGTCTTCCTGTCTGCTGCGCGACTGAGGAGTTCTCCCTGCTGGCTTCTTGGTGTGTGTGGAATGTAGGTGCTCCAGTTTTCCTGCCTGCTGCGTGACTGAGGAGTTCTCCCTGCTGGCTTCTTGTACAGGCACCCTCTGTTTGGCCGCAACGTCCCCCTCTCCAGCGGCTCTGGCTTCATTATGTCCGACACGGGGCTGATTGTCACCAATGCCCACGTGGTCTCCAGCAGCAGCAGCAGCAGCACCGCAACTGGGCGGCAGCAGTTGAAAGTGCAGCTCCAGAGTGGGGACACCTACGAAGCGACCATCCAGGACATTGACAAGAAGTCAGACATCGCAACCATAAAGATAAAGCCACGGGTAAGGAGCTGGGAGGAAACCCGCTCGGCGTTGGCCGAATGCTTCCTCCTTTGGCGGAAGGGGGGCTGGGCTTTTGCATGCTTTGCTTATTTGAACATGGACAGTCTTTCTCAATTAAAGTAAATGGCTACTTGGAGTGAGCCTGTCTGCAGATGTAATTTCTGCCGTGAGTACCCCAAACATGTCTGTGAAAGAGTTAGAGACAAGTGGGGTTGGCACCGCGCTGCCCAGAGCCCAGAGTGGCTTCCCCTCTCTCCTGCCAGGCGCGGGCTTTTCCTGCGTCGGGTGATGTGCCATCCTCACGCTGTGTGTTACCTTGCCTTGCCCCTCGGGCCAACGGGGTCCTGTGCAGCTCCCTTTCTTCTGGTGGTGTGGCAGCCCTTTCCCTCTTCAAAACCAGCATCCACGACGATCCTTTGAAAATGGGTCCGGGTTAAAGAATTACACTGTTCTGGTGTTTTAAAATTATATGTACGAAATACATCACAAGTGAGTTGTCTGATTTCTAAGATACAGTTGTTGGTATTGCTGTTCATTCTTTGACATTTGAATTCTGTGGTGTTGCCTGGTGAGGGCATGAAGGAGGAGCATCTGGACGGGAGGGACCAGACCAGACCCTCTGAAGCGGAACATGCGCAAAGCGGCTGGTGTCTGGATGTCCCATTCTCTAGAGCCGGGTGTCAAAGATCCGGCCCGCGGGCCAGAACGGGTCTGTCCACGGCTCTTGCCTGGCCAGCCAGGGACTGGTGCCCTTCTCAGCCCATGAGGGGGAAAGGGGTCGCAGGAGGACAAGAAGCGCCCCCTGGAGGTTTTGGAAACATGTTCTCTGTCAGGCCCTCCCCTCAGCCCCACCACTTTTGTGGCAATCGCAGGAGGGATGAGAGCTGGGGGGTGGGGATGTAGGAGAGCCGAGCTTTTACGAGTTCCCCAGTAAATCAATTGCTTTCACTGCTACAAATCAATTGCTTAATCGGGTTTGCCTGTGCCCTTAATGAAATGTATATCTCCGGTACCTGGAATTACATTTTACGGCACACGTGGCCTGGCCCGGCAAAGTGACCCTTATGCAAGATCCGGCCCTCGTAACAAATGAGTTTGTCACCTCTTTGCTTCCTCCCACTCAGAGCAATTTCAGGACCGTTTTCTCTTTACAACCACGCTGTGCCCCCTCGGCTAAGCTAAGTGGAGGCGACTCACCCAAGGCCACCTGTGGGCATCCAGACTCAGTCTCTTGACAAGCAGACTCAATGGAACCCACATGATGTGGGGCATCCCTGCTTCCGATCAGAGGAAGGTTTCCCCATGATCCCTGTTTGTGTGTATGTTTTGTGTTTTTCACATGTGCGTGTGTGTGTGTACGTGCGCAGGTGAGTGTATGTGCACCTGGAAGTCGCCATGACCTCTTTTGAATGACCCCTACTTGGGGCCTGGAGGATATTCAGAGAGGTGGCTGAATAAAGCCTGCCCCCACCTCCCGCCTCTGGTATTTCAAGGAGGTCTCCCACCCAAGTACCCTCCTGAGCTTCCGCGATCTGACGAGATTGGGCTTGCCTGGGCTATCCAGGTCAGGGCCCCATGATCCCTGTTTCCGATCCATCATTAGACTTGTCCTGTTCACGTTCATGTAAGCCATCTCTCCCCCCCCCCCAAACCTTGCAGAAAAAACTGCCTGTCCTCCTCTTGGGCCATTCTGGTGATCTGAGGCCGGGGGAGTTTGTTGTGGCCATGGGGAGCCCGTTTGCCCTGCAGAACACTGTCACCACGGGCATCGTCAGCACAGCGCAGAGGGATGGCAAGGAACTGGGCCTGCGGGATTCAGACATGGACTACGTCCAGACCGATGCCATCATCAATGTAAGTCAGAGCTCCACTGCAGAAGCGGTTCCTCTGGGTCTCACAGCTGCCTCCAGTGCCATCTTCCATGGTGTCTTCTTAGGCTCTCAGGTGGAAGGGGGGGCTGGTTCTGCTCATCTGTCAGTGCTTGAGGGAATGCCGCCTGAGCCCGCAGTAGCACTTGTGCGACAGGAGGGGGGGGGACAAAGTTCCCTCTGGATCCCCTGGGCTTTCCAGGGTCTGTGTGCAGCTGCTGGGAGAGGCAATCTGAGGATCTGAAAGGAAGCCTCACCTGTGCGCACGTGACACTCAGCCCTTCCTCTCCTTTTCAACTGATTCAGTGGAGGTGGTGGCAGTCCTGGGAAGATGCCTAGAGACAGGAATCGATTGGATGAAGCCAACAAACTGACAGGGTGGAGGGACAACAAGGACAGGGTTGTCTTCACCTTAAAGAGCAGGTTCACAGTATGGGACAGCTATTAGATCTCAGGCTGTAGGAAAAGGTGCTGGTTTCTTATGTAGAATCATAGAATTCTAGAGAGTTGGAAGGGGCCATACAGACCATCTAGTCCAACCCCCTGCCCAGTGCAGGACCAGCCTAAAGCATCTCTGACAAATATTCCTCCAGCCTTTTCTTGAAAGCTGCCAGTGAAGGGGAGCTGACCACCTCCCCAGGCAGCTGATTCCACCTTTGAACCACTCTGACTGTGAAAAAGTTCTTCCTAATATCCAGCCAATACCTTTCTGCATGTAATTTAAACCCATTGCTTTGGGTCCTATCCTCTGCAAATATTTAAAGAGAGCAATCATGTCCCCCTTCATTCTCCTCTCCTCCAAACGAAACATTCCCAAGGCCTTTCCTCGTAGGGCTCCGTCTCCAGACCCCTGATCATCCTCGTCACTCTCTTCTGCACCCTCTCGATTTGGCCCACATCCTTTGTGAAGTGAGGCCTCCAGAACTGCACACAGGACTCCAAGTGCGGCCTGACCAAGGCAGTATAAAGAGGGGCTATGACCTGCTGTGATTTCGATGCTATGGGCCTTTTAATACAACCCAAGACAGGATTGGCCTTTTTTGCATCACACTGACTGCTCATATTTAGTTTACAGTCCACTCTTACCCCAAGATCTCTTTCGCATACACTTCTCCCTAGAAACGGATCCTCCATCCAGTATTTGTGCTTGACATTGTTGTGGCCCAGATGTAATACTGTGCATTTATCTTTGTTGAATTGCATCCTGTTTGCAACTGCCCACTTCTCCAGAGTATTCAACTCTTGTTGAATTTTAACTTGATCCTCTTGGGTGTTTGCTACTCCTCCCAATTTGGTATCATCGGCAAATTTAATGAGTAACCCTTCTACACTTTCATCTAGATAATTGATAAAAATATTAAAAAGTACCTGGCACAAAACCGAGCCCTGTGACACCCCGCTGGACACCTCCCTCCAATCTGATGAAACGCCATTGACCGCCACTCTTTGGGTGCGGTCCTCTAACCAGCTCCCTCTCCACCAAACTGTCCATGAACCAGTCCAAAAGGGTACTGATCAGTAGGTCTTATCAGTTTTGCAGCCAGTCTGTAATATCCTGTAGTACGCACCTCACCCAAGATAATAGAATAATGAAATATAAAACACCTTTTAAAAATATGGCTTGCATTTTCCAGAATGGGAGTTAACATTTTCTGATGTTTGTTTTTGCAGTATGGGAATTCAGGAGGACCTCTCGTCAACCTGGTAAGAACTTACTGCATTTTGTGTTTGCATAATATGATGAAATGGTTACCTTAAAAAGCAGAATTCCAGAAGTGGTCTCAAACTGGCAGTCTCAGTAGCTTCACTTCAGTTTGGCTGCCCTTCCAGTGTGAATCAAGTGACCACTGTTCACTTATCAAAGAGTGTGGCTCTTTTCAGATGCCAACAAATCAGAACAATAAATATTCCTGCGCCACGAATCTGGGATCTGTGGATGATCCCTGGCTCTCTTTCGATTCCTGTCCAGCTCCTTGAGGCTTGGATTTTATGTCTACTGTGATGGGCTGTGGCTTCCTGAGGTCTCAGGCAGAGGGAGATCTTTCCCAGCCCTGCTCCCTGAGATGTTCTAGAGTCTGAAGAGTGTCCTCTGAACATACAGAGCATTTTTACTGATGTACACCGCCCTGAGCCCTGCTTTGCAGGGGTAAAAAGGTAAAGGTAAAGGTTCCCTTGCTTGAAAGCCAGTCGAGACCGACTCCAGGGTTGCGGTGCTCATCTCCGTTTCAAAGCCAAAGAGCCAGCGCTGTCCGAAGATGTTTCCGTGGTCATGTGGCCGGCATGACTAAACACCAAGCCGCACGGAACGCTGTTACCTTCCCACCGAAGCGGTACCTATTTATCTACTTGCAGTTTCTTGCTTTCGAACTGCTAGGTTGGCAGGCGCTGGAACTAGAGACGGGAGCTCACTCCGTCATGCGGCACACTCGGGTCTCGAACTGCTGAACTACCGACCTTCCACAGCCCACAGTTCAGCCTCTTAAAAATCTAATTTAATAAACAATAAATAAATAAATCCACTCCATACTGCGCTGCGCCAGACACCTTGGGTCATTTTTCTGATACCTCGCAGTCCCTCCCCAAAGTTTAAGATCTTTGCTACCCCTTTTGGGAAGGGTCAAGATGTTGAGTTGATGCTATTCAGCAGTCTCTATATTAGCTGAGGCATTTTATTTGCAATATTTTAAGAATGTGCCATAGGTGGAACCAAAATTGCAGTTGGTATGCTGTTTAAAGAACCAAATACCTTTATGTGGTTGTTTACCTGATGAAGTTAGTTTTGGTGCATGCTGTGCACCTATAGAATTGTATATTGTGCCTAATGGTACTCCTGTCCTTGGCAGAGATTTGTTTGTGTCGGCTAATGCCGCCATGCGGTTGCTGTGTTCTCCCTGCTCCTCCCTCCCCTGCTGGAATGCACTTCAGGTTCCCCGTTATCTCTCCTGTGGCCTTGGAGACTTGCTCGGCCACACCACTGCTTCCCACTGGGAGCTTCAGGCCGCTTTTCTGAGCGCGCTTGCTGGCTTTCACTTATTGGCTCATACCTATCAGGGGGACCTGTTGTCAGCTAGCTGCCATGTTTTACTTGTTTCCTTCCCTGACTCTGGCGCTACGGTGCATACTTGCTCGTTTGCGGCAAACAGCGATAGGGAGGCGCTCATGAGACCGTGTGAACTGGCGCTGCCAGACTGGGTTATCTGTCTAACCTTGAGACGGAGGGAGGGCTTCCGTTCCACTGTTGGTGTGAATATTTCTGCTCTCATAAGGCACAGAGACTCTCCCGTTCATTATGTAACCTCCCGCCGGGAGAATTCCCCTGCGCGCTCTTGGATTTCATTTGCTTAGCCATTTGCCTCATCCTGTTATATGTAGGTATGCATCCGCCCCCTTGTCATTCCTAACAATATACCTGTAGACCATGGCAATGGACCTGTAGTCTAATAAAGCATAATGATTCCCTGGAAATGTGTGTGGAGATTTACTTGCTGTTGAACCTGACACCTGTATGAACTGAGTATAACTGTTTGGGTTCCCGCCTAACCTATTCTTGACACGGATTGTGTTGAATGATGACCTGAGTACCTTCCTCAATAAACTGAACCTTAATAAAAGAACGTTGTTGAGTCCAAGTGACTTGGGACTCTGACAGTGTCAGGAATCCCCTTCTGTTGGCCTTTACCCCCACCTGCAAAGTTGAGCAGAGAAGAGGATCTGAATGTGCCCGTGACAACGACAGAGCAGGTGCTGACCAATGGAGAAGAGGATCTGAATGTGCCCATGACAACGACAGAGCAGGTGCTGACCAATGCTCCCTCTAAGCTGTGGAGCCTTGTGAGCAAAGATTCTACTTTGTGAGCTACTGGCATTAAAGTTGTGAGCGAGTGATTTGGCTGCTGCATAAATTAGTTTGCTTTGGGTCCATCCTTTCTGAGCCAAGACAAAAATGTGTGATCTGGAGGGTAAAAAACTGAGCTAGCTCACACTAACTCAGCTTAGAGGGAACACTGGTACTGACTACCACGGCCCCAGTCCCCACCACCATCTCAGCAAGTGTCCCAACGACCCTATCACCAGTGTCGAGAGCGGAGGGGTGTGTGGAGAGCTGGCCGCTCCAAAGCCCAAGTATTAATTCTTGGGCTGACTTCTCCACACGGACTCATGAATCATGGATGGTGACCCCGAAACCATCAGGGGGAAGCTGGTATGACTACAAACCTCCCCGAGGTCCAGAGTATAAGCGGGATCCATTGGGAGGCGAGGAGATCCGATGGGAAGAGAGGTTCTCCTGGATGGAAGCGGCGCAGGCCAAGATGAGTCAGGAGCTACAAGATGCGCTGATGGACATTTCCCAGATGGTGGCCGAGGTGGTTCAGAACGAACTGCACTTACAGCCACCTACGCCGCTGGCGGGGCCACCTACACAGGTACCTGTCCCTGCCCCGCTCCCCACGCCCCTACCTGCCCTGGTACCGGGCCCTGCGGGCTCGCCAGCGCATGCACCCATTCCATTCAGGCTTGAGCGCCCCAAAGAGCTTCTCGAGGCCACGTTCGACGGTACTCTGGAGAAGCTGGCATTTTTCATAGTGCAAGTGCAGAAATTCGTGCAGCACTGGGGCCATCTCTTCATGTCGGCAGAGCAGAGGGTCGACTACATTGCCTCTAAGCTGCGAGAGGGAGCAGCCCAAGACCAAGGCCCTGAGCTACGAGAAGTAGAAGCATTCATGTGGGCACTGCGACAGCAGTATGAAGACCCGATGGAAGGAGAGAGAGCCTGAAATCACCTCCGTACTCTGGCAGAACAGGAGGTCCGTGCGAGAGTACACAGAGGAATTCAAAAGGTATGCAGCGAAGATCCAGGGCTGGCCTGATGGGGTGTTCGCTAAACACTAGCGCCTGGGGTTACACCCCGAGATCCGGGAAACAATCCTCCGCAGCACCCACCCAGTCTCCCTGAATGCGTGGATGCGAGAAGCCGCGGATGCCGAAACCCAGATCCAGTTGATCAAGATTCACAGCACCACTGGCCACCTGAAGACGGAGTCCTCGGCCACCAAGAGCAAACCTCCCAAGCCCCAGAAGGGGGTAAGAGATCAATGCTTGCTCCAAGGGTTGTGTCTCCGATGCGGAGAGGCTGGGCATTATGCCACATCCTGCCCGGGGAACGTCATCCCACCCGGGGGAAAGGAGCCTGAAAAGAAACGCCAGGATGCTCCGCTGAAGAAGAGTTTCACTAAACCCAAGTTCCAGAGGGCACTGCAATTCGCTGTTCAGGAGGGTGAACCCACCTCTAGCAGCGAGGAGGAGGGTGAGCAGGCGGGAAATGGCAAGAGCCTGTTGTGAAAGGTGCAAAACAGCAGGTCTGAGAGCAGTCGGTGCCATGAACAGTGAGCAACTCCCCTCCCCTCTTTTTTGTGACTGTGACTCTGTTGAATCCTACATTGGGGACCCATGTGAGGGTGAGGGCTTTAATTGACTCAGGGTGTGCCAGAGACTTAATCAGTCCATTGTTGGTAACAGGGCTGGGGGCCCTAGTTGAGAGACTCCCTGAGACCATAGTGTTCACACAGATGGACGGCTCGACAATGAAAGAGCCATGTAAATTTTAGACGGTTCCACTACGAATAGGTGCGGGGGGCCACTGGGAACATCGAGCATTTGTGGTCACCCCAACAACCAGGTTCCCTGTGTTCCTGGGAAGCCCCTGGCTGCACACCCATGACCCTACATTCTGTGGGATGAGGGGAGAGTCCAATTTATCGTGCCCAAGTGTAAAACGCATGGCTGGGACCCTGGGTGGGGCTAGACACCCCCCCCCCCGATGAGCCAGTTTGCGCCTGTTTGGCACAAGAAGAGCTATCAACCATTCTGCCAGAATACCGGGATTTAGCTCGAGTATTTGAGGAAGAGGAGGCTGATGAACTACCCCCCCCATCGTAACTCTGACTGTGCTATCAAACTGCTCCCAGGCCATAAGTTGCCCAAAGGAAAGTTGTACGCAATGAGCCCTAGTGAGAAGGAGGAGCTGAGAAAGTTCATTGACAAAAACAGCCTGGGGTTTTATTCCTCTTGCCTTTTTCCCTTTCACGGCGCCCATTTTGTTCTGGAAAAAGAAGGATGGGGGCTTGCGGCTTTGCACGGACTATCGGGGGTTGAATGCAGTATTGGTTACCAATGCTTATCCTTTGCCGTTGATCAAAGACCTTTTGGTGGAGGCGGCTAAAGGGAAAATCTTCACCAAGCTCGATCTGCAGGATGCGTACTTCCGAGTGTGTATCAAAGAGGAGGATGAGTATAAAACTGCATTTAACACCCCTCTGGGTCAGTTCGAGTACCGAGTCATACCGTTTGGGCTCCAAGGGGCCCCTGGTGTATTTATGAACCTGGTCAATGAAGTGTTGCACAAGCACCTATTCAGGGGGGTCCTGCTGTTCCTAGATGACATTTTACTGTACTCCCCCACCAAGGATGCTCATGTGCAGTTGGTGAGGGAGGTACTCCAAACCTTGTACGATCATAAGCTGTTTGTAAAACTCTCCAAGTGTGAATTCAATCAGCCAGAAGTGGACTTCTTGGGCTATCACATCTCCCCCCGAGGACTAGAGATAGACCCCGCAAAGGTGCAGGATGTTCTGGGGTGGGAGGCACCTCGCACCCACTTCCAACTCCAATCCTTCTTCGGATTTGCGAACTTTTATAGAAATTTC